AATCTTTAAAAAAAAAGAAAGAAAGAAAGAAAGAAAGAAAGAAAGAAAGAAAGAAAGAAAGAAAGAAAGAAAGAAAGGAGGAAGGAAAGAAGACAGACAGACTGACTACAGGACAGACACTTAGCTGGTTGTACTTAAGTTACACCCTAATAAAAGAAGCAATAGCTGCCGGGCAGTGCACGCCTTTAACCCCAGCACTCGGAAGGCAGAGGCAGGCAGAGGCAGGCAGATCTCTGTGAGTTCAAGGCCAGCCTGGGCTACAGAGTGAGTTCCAGGACAGCCAGGACTGCACAGAGAAACCTCGTCTCGGGAAAAGAAGCAAAGCCTAGCATCTGTCCTGCACTTGTAAGAAGACAAGGAGGTCCCCCTGCAACATATCCGCCAGCTGTGGCCAGCTCCGGAGTCTCCGCTCCTGCGTTTCAGTGTAAGGCTGACGGATAGGCCGTGGGTTGAGAAGTGGACACTTGACAGTGAGGCGGAGTGGGCAGAGACAAAAAAGGGATTGTCAACATTCTCAGTGCACCCTGACTCCTGCCTTCGCCTGGATTCCCAAGGCAGGCGGGCAGGGGCACCGCACCTGTAACATTGTGTCCAGATGCCTTGCAACACATTTACACCTGTCTCTGAGCACAGACAAGTTAATAAACCATAAAAGGGCCATGACCCTGCCCCATGGTCTCACTACATAGCCATGGCTGGCCTGGAGACCTGCCTACCTCTGCCTCATAAGTGCTGGGTTTAAAGGCATGTGCCACCATACCCAGACAACAGCAGAGTTCTATCAATGTGACTTTGGGATAGAGATATACTGGGATGTCTGAGTATAAGGGATGTATATATCATATATATATATACATACCATATATATATCACATATATACACACACACCATATATATCATATATATGTGATATAAGAGAATGCTGGGCATGCTTATGCTCTCTTGTCCAGGATGCTATAGGCCCAGATCTAGAATGCCACTGTGGTGTAGGGCAGTCCTGACAAACACCAACACTTGTACCCGGGGAGTGGCTGCTATGTGCCAATCACTACTCTGGGTGCTAAGGTGGGATATCGAGTAGGACCGTCACCGTTCTGCACATAGATATGCCTGGTTTGCTTTCTGGACCAGCAGGAAGGGAGTACGCAGGCAGGCCTGCCTCTGTCAGATGAGGCCGGGGGCTATGAGCTCAGCGGCCTAACATCTAACACACCCATTCCTCCCAGCACCACCGGGTCCCCGGAGGCTCCAAACAGATAGTCGCAGACAACACAGAAGACATAGCTCCGCTGATACTATCTTCCAGGTCTCTGTTCCAGAACCAGGAATGGAGATGAGGGGATGGGAGGCCCTGGAAATCCGTTTCCAGCCCACTTTCTTTGCTTTACAGTTGAGGAAACGGAGGCCCAGAGTGAGCAGAGTGCTTCCGTAGGTCCCAGAGTGACCTGGAAACAGAGGCCAACACCAGAAACCAGGCTCCCCTGATGGTACCCGCTAGGGCCCCTAGGCTCACCCTGCAGCGGGGACAACAGCCTGGACTGACACATAGCTCTTCCATTCCCCGCCAACCTATGGCCAGGGGAAGGGAGTCAGTTTCCAGCTAACTAGGGGAAGGACATCTATCTGCAAGTAGATCTGACAGGGCCCTACACGACAGGACATACCCTAAGGAGGTCTCATGTTCACGCCCCTCCCAGCTATCCACAACTCCCAACACTCCAGTTTAGAGCACAGGAATTAAGGGACCATCACTCTTGAGGGGGCTCACACTGTCAGATCTTGGGACTTCTAAGGGGTGACTGCAAATCAGCACTCCACACTCGGAACTAATCACAGCTACTGTCCCCACGGAGTTCTTAAGACCTCGAGACTGTCTGCAAAGCCAGCCTCTTTTATAGAGGATGGGCAAAGGCCAGAGCTTCCTTCCTCTGGTCAGCTGCTGAGTCCTATCACTGGCTGTGTCTTCCCACATAAGGGACCAGCCTGGTAAGTGGCAGCTCTCCCTTCACCAGCAAGCCAGGGGGCTTTCAAACCAGCCCAGACCTAACTCTGCCCAGGAGCCGGCTGGACAAGGGGAGCCCAGGCACCCCTTAACACTTTCTCCTATCCAGAATGGGCTAGAGAGCAGGAGGAATCGGTGTCTAGACTGAGGTAATACCTAGCACACCTTCTCAAACAGGCCTACCCGGAACAGGAAAAGCTGAGTCTAGCTGTTCCCAGACACCAGCAGGCCTGGAAGATGCTTCCGGGGAAGATGCCCATGCTTAGATTGTCCCTGAACGTAGGGCCCTACAAGGAGTCCCCAGCCTTGGGGATCAGGGTCTGGGCGTCCTAGAACAGCCACCCCCCCGTCAGGTGCTCCCGAGAAACCCGTATCCAGGCCCCTTGCCCTCCACCGCTCCGGCGGGCACGAGGACCATGTGAGCAGCAGGTGCAAGACGCGGGGGTGGCAGGGATGACACAAACCATACTAGCGCCCACCTCCCACAGCCTGCCGGCCTCCGCCACGGCCCTCCCGCCACCCCAGGCTGGCGCTTCCGTCTGGATGCCGAGATGGAGGTGGGAGGCGGTTCCCTCCTGTCCACGGGCTCCAACGCACAGCGCCCCCCGCAGCCGGCCCTCCCGCCAAGGACGCCGCTCCGCAGTGGCCCCCGCCCCGCCCTCCG